TTAGGGTTGGGTTTGGGGTTTAGGGTTTGGGGCCTATCATTTAGGGTTTAGGGTTGGGTGTAGGGTTGACGGTAGTTTAGGGTAGTTTAGGGTTGCAGGTTCAGAGCTTTTCGGGCTTAGGGGCAGGGTTTGGAGATTCGGGCTTGGATGACTTGGGAATATGGTCATGCGCTGATCCTTCTAGAATGCCTGTATGGCAATAACGGATGTTCGAGTTTAAAGGGCTGAATGATCGGAGTAAGGCGGGATTTTCCCACAGTTGGCCTGAATGACGACTCGTAATTATTGGGAATCCTAATCTCAAATCCAAAAAATTACCATAAGACTTGAACCTATATACCCTAATCTGAAAACCCCGATTAATCCCGCATTTCGGGCTTGCGGTTTATCATTAGGGTTTTTTCAAAACCCGCTGCCAGAACAAACAGAAGCGAATCCCAACATACCAACATGGTGCCATCACGTCCTAAGGAAGATTTACTAGTATGAGCGTGGGGGCTGATGGGGGACACGGATGTTTGTTTACAGGCACCCTGACTTGTTCAGAAATGCCCCCATGCGCACAGTGATGTTTGACTTACGTGTGGCTACTTGCAGGGTCAGGGCAACTTAGTTCGTCGAAAATAACTTCAACAACCAGGTAATAACCCCAAGAATCCCCATCATTAGCTAACTTACAAAGTCCCGATGACTGTGCAAGTGGTGGGAATCGAGGACCGGATCTCCATATATCAAGAGCAAGTTCTCCTCTTGGGTGCTCTACTTGGAGGGTCATTGGGATTGAGTTAAATAGGTCAAAAATGGGGATGATTGGGGTTGATATATTGCTCTTAGAGGTTATTGACCTACTTACTAAGTCCCCTGACCCTCCAAGTAGATATTAGCAGCCGTATTCTTTGGGAACCCCCAAAGGAGGCATAATTTGGGCGACCGTCAAGTCAACCAGAGCACCCCCTAGAACCCAAAAAATTGTTCAGTCCTTGCATATTCACTCTCAACCAATGGAGCCTGCATTAAGGTTTAGGGTTAGAAGTATGGGCCCCTAATATTGGCCCTTAGGCCTTTTAGGGGGATTCTAAAGACCCTTAAGGGAACATATGCCGTATATACTAGGTATACACGGATCCCAGGGTTAAGGGCCCATACTAGTGGCCCATGGTTTCAACCTTAGATCAAGGATTGGCCCTGAACTAATGGAGCCCGCATTTGCGCTTGATCTATTTGGGGAACGTAGGTGAAGACACCTGCAGGTGGGTAACTACCAGGTGCAGTCCCCTCATATCCCCCCAAATGTGTAAGACTCGCTCGTATAAGGGTATTGGGATTTTATGAGGTCTATATAGGCTTCGTTCGAGGGTCTGCAGCATCTAAGCCAACGTCCACACTGGCTCCTGTAGCCACCACCGCTGTGCCCCCTGCACCAGCCCCTGGCACTGGAGCGGCATCTGGCAGCGGCAAACTGGTTTGCTGTAAAGAACTTAACTTTAGTTATCATATTGCGTAGACCATATTCATTAATATATACATATATACCCAGTATGGTAACTTTGGTTAAGTTCCTTAACAGCAACCCAGCAAATTCATCAGCAACAGCCAATGCGACAGAGGCAGCCCCTGCGCCGAAATCTCCGGCAGCAGCCCCTTGCTCTGCAATGCGGCTGACCGCTCGCCCTGCAACCGATGCCAAAGGCAGCTTAGTTGCAAATCGGGGATAATGCGGGGGTTAGTTTCGGGATTAAGGGATTGAGAGGCTTAGGGACACAGGGGGTTGGGGCTTAGTGCGCCGGTTATATAGGGTTTTGAAAAATGTGGTCCTTTCTTCTCTTGGGTGCCTTAAACCTTAATCTCTATCCCCTATAAACCCTAATTCCCGTAGTCCTTACTCCTTGATCCCTACTCTATCCCCGAAATCCCCAATCCCCATGCCAGGCTGCCCTGCCTGCTGTTTTTCCTTCGTAGCTACGGGTAACAAGTGAACCTTTATCTGCGGCCTTTTCAGGGCAGTTTTAGGGTTTAGGGGAGAGCACAGGGGACTTGCCAGTGGGAAGATGAAGGGCATGTTAGGCTTTTTTGGGGCACGTGTGGGATTTGTGAGGCATATATATATACACATATAGATATGCACGTGTATATATATATATGTGGTACTTGGTTATATGCTATACTCACATGAGGGGCCAGGGGGCTCGGCAATCAGGTTTCCATTGTGGACAAGATCTCGCCAAGTGAGAAATCTTCTGTGCCGACTGCCGACCTCTGAAGCACAGGCGGGGCTTCTGCAAAAACCCATGTTTCGGGGTGTGTCGCTCAGCAAACTGGGTGGGGGTCAGGGGAATCTGTGCTGAGCCTCGGGGTAGCCAAAGGGAATATGGGTATGATACAGTTCAGCTAGCGTACCGTCCCAGGGGCCTCCCCAAAGTGCAACACTACCCTAATGTTAAGCCCCCTCAACCGTGAATTCATTCCACCCTCAAACACCCCACCCCTCATGGAAAGGGAGCCCTGGTGAAAAGAGTCCCCGCTACCGCCGAATCCCCTGTTGACTCCTTCAACGGGACCTCTATGCTCCATTTCTATAGTCTCCCCTAGCAATACCTCAAGTTCCCAAGTACCTCCTAATCACCTCCCCCTAAGATCAAACCCCCCAGTCCGCTAATATTGAACATTTTCACTGCGGCATGTTATTAATTATTGCAACATTTTAGGACTATTTAAAAACAGCTGGTGGGGATTTTAATGTTGGAGGAGGGGCTCACGTTGAGACACCCCCATCTCTTCAAAGGCAACAGCGACTGCCTTGCCTCGTTTTAGGATCTCAGGAAGTGAAGTTCCATCGCATTTTGGAAGCCTTAATAGGTACCAACATCATGGTCCTGGTGTGCTTATGTTTCTTTGCGAAGTTAGAGCTCAGGGTATCTCAGGCTCAGATAGCCCTCAGAATGATATTGCCCCGGTAATTTTCAGCCTTTTGGCCCATCAGCCTTTTGGCCCATTATGAGCCCAACGAAAGCTAGCACGCTAACATGAAAAGATAACCTTTCGGAGTTTCACAGTGAGCCTTTTTGCTATGGCGCCGCGGTTCTTGCTACTGGTCTTGCTATTGGGGAGGGCACTTGGACAATCCAAGCGGCCGCCGCCCAACAACCGAACCTTGCGCAGAAGAGTTTGGTAAGAAGTACTACAATAGAGGGGGCTTCTAGGGGTTATGCAGGGCCATGTATGGGTTCTACAGGGATAGGGATTAGGGATTGTGGTTTCCAAAAATCAGGGGTCCAGTTCTACGTGCACCCATCAGAAGGATTGTAGTGTATATGGGTCCATATCAGATGTGTTTGGTAAGACAAGAGGCGCGTTGGCATTTGTTTTCAAGTTCAGTAGTGATTAAGAAGTCTGGATTATCTTTTTGGCTCCACCCACAGGAACCTTTGTGTCCAAGTACATTGATGGCATGATCGAGAAGCTTACAGCACGCATCCGTCGAAAAGATCCAGTGCTGGCAGACATGTTTGGCAACTGCTTTCCGAACACCTTGGACACCACTGTGCTTTACCATGGGGTGGACCGGGAAGGATTACCCGACACCTTTATCATCACTGGCGACATCCATGCCATGTGGCTTCGGGATTCAACCAACCAAGTGTTGCCTTACATCCCCTTTGTTGACAAAGATCCAGCTCTCGACGTCATGCTTCAAGGGTTGGTGCATAGGCAAACCAAATCAGTGCTGATCGACAGCTTTGCCAATGCTTTTAATTTGAACAGTTCCAAACCTTCTCCATGGGCAAGCGATAGAAGAGTCCCCAACATGACCAATGCAGTCTACGAGGGAAAGTATGAGTTGGACTCCCTCGCAGCCTTTCTGAAACTGTCCAGATCATATTGGCAGCACTCACAAAACTCCAGCATCTTTGGCGAGACATGGCAGAGGGCAGTGGCCAAGGTAATCTCCACGATACGGGCCATGCAAGCAGGCATGGACGAGTATGCTGAGAATCCACCCTACAAGTTTCAGAGAGAGACCGGGCAGTGAAACTCAGAGGGTTCGGCTTGAATTGAACGACCGTCAACCCCAAAGCGCTCCGTAGGGCTGTGGGGTTAAGGTCTACAGTCCCCCTTACAGTCGATAGAATATGGAGTATACGGGGATCTCATTATACCTTATTATAATATACCCAAAGCCATATTCTATTTACTTAAGTGGTAGTAGAAGGTCATGCTACCATGAAAAGAAGTCCCCCCCTTGGTACAAGATGGACTTGGGCTTCGACCCAGACCCCCTTTCTCCAATGTAGTACTGGGTTTATATTGGCGGGGTTCCATTTTTTGGATCCTTTAAGGGGTTCTGGGTAGGTGTAGGTGAACGCAGACACCATGGGTTCAGCGTTCTAGGGAGTTGGCAAGTAGGTTAAGAAGGAGGGTAATTGGGGTTTTGATATGGTTTACAGGAGTTATTAACCTACTTACTAAGCCCCCCTGACCCTCCAAGTAGTACCCTAAACCCTAAATTCCCTACACCTGAAGCCTTAAACCTGGCCAAGAATAGCTGCGCACCCAAGTCAAGAGTTAAATCCTTATGTCCTAGACCCCCCAAACCCTACACCCAATAGATTCCTCCAAGACCCCTGCATGAAATAATTCGCGTGCCTTGGACCCTTTGACCCTAAACCGGCCCTAAACCCTAAATGCCAAACCCTGAGCCCAGAACCTTAAACCCCAAACCCTAAGCCCTAAATGCCCTGAACATCCCTGAACCCTAAACCGCAAACCAGGTTAGGTTTTTATGGCCATAGTAGGGATATAAACCCAAGAAATCAAAGAGCACTTACTCTCCTAGGGCTCCTTTTAGAGTGCTCTTTGATGTTGTTTACCCAGGTCAAAATCTTAACCTGCCCTAAACCCTGAACCCTAAAACCTAAACCCATACTTCAAACCTGAAACCGTAAACCCCTAAACCCTATATAAGCTGAACTTTCAGTGGCCTAGCCGGGCCAAGCCCTCAGGTGTTGGGCATTAATCGCTTTGGCATCAGCCGGATGCGGACATCCGCCTTGATGCAGCTTGGTCTTGCATTTGCTTAGAATTAGGATTTAGGGTTTAGCAGGATATAGGGTTCAGGGGCTTAATTAGGCCAATTGAGATTTGGAGTTTAGAGGCTCAGGGTTGAGTGCAGGGTAGGCGGGGATATGGGGGTTGTCAAAAGCAGCGAGGTAACCACAATCTTGGGACTGTATTATATTGGAGGGCCGCATTTTTGACAGCCTACCATATCAGGTTTGCTTAAACTAGGGTTGCCAACAGGGACCTGTAATATTGGGAAGATAAGAGAATCCTGGTGGGCCCCTTCTCAGGATTCAATAGGGAGTATGTGTTAGGTGGACCCCCCACTAACTATAAGGAATAGTGAGGATTATATTAGGGTCCTCTTACATTCCTATTATACCACTATTACAGGGTGGGGTGGGGGTTCCTCCTAAAGTATGTGAATGGAGAGAAAGGGATTGGTAGGATTCAGGGTCTTTAGCCATGTTGGTAAACATAAACAGGGTTCCTTGGTCCTTCAGACTGTTGGTGTGTATGCATCTGGCATGGGTTATCCTTCTGGCTGGGCCAAAGAGATCCATCCCAGCTTGTCGAGGGGCAGGAGCCCTCCTTGCCAGGGCCTGAGCTCCTATACACTTAGGATTTTTTTGTAGTGTGACCCCAACGAGCTATAAACCATGTCATGTTCATTACGGGTCTAGGGAGACTGCAGTTACTTGAGGCGCACCATTACCATGACAGCTTGTTCAGCAGGAGATTGCCAAGGGATGATGATCAGAAGCACGGCCCGCCGCGGCAAACGCAGCGTTTCTAGTATGACTGGTACTACTAGTCCTCCTGCCACAGCCGCGACCGTGAGTACACCATGACCCAAGAGCGTGTTACCACCTCAAGAGCCGCAAAGAGTCACTACAGCTGATCATCATTATATTGGGGTTTTACTGAGATGATGGAGAAGAAAATGGAAACTACTATTTAGGGTTTAGAGAATTGTACAAAGCAAGCGTGGGGGCGCATGAAATCTCAGATTCAGGTCCGTCTCAAGCTATGCATGCGTACTCGGTTAAAGACCCCTATACCCTGTATAATAACCCGAGTTATCCCCATCATTAACCTACTTATGAAGTTCCCCTGGCCTAAACCCTAAACTCTAAGCCCTAAACCGTAAACAATATGTAGTAGTTTTCATTTTCTTTTCCATTATTAACCTACTTACGTCCCACTGATCCTCCAAGTAGGGATGGAAAGCCCGATGGATCAGCTACGACCGCTCATAGACGAAAGAAAAGAGCAAAGGTTGGCTTGGAAGGGTTTAGGGTTTAAGGTTTAGTGTTCCCCGAAATTGACAGCATATTCCCTAGACCTAAATTCTGAAACCTAAACCCTAACTCTAAATCCCTCTATCAGAAGATGTGAGAGTTTCTCAAAGTGGTCCCTCGATTAACATCCTAAATGGGCACCCCAGGAGCCCCTCTGAAACCCTAAACCCTGAACCCTAAACCCATCCTCAGGATGCTTAAGGGCCCCTTGTTTTGAGAATCCCAAGGAGTTAGGGTTTAGGGTCGACTTTTCTTCTGGTGTCCTGGGTGTATGTAATGGCTTCCTTAGGGATTTGTTGGGTGCCATATATGGTGTTCAAGCTGGGGGAGCAAAGATTGAACTCCTACCATGCATGACTGGGTTGCTGTTAAGGAACTTAGTTTAAGTTACTATACTGGGCAAACCATACTAATTATTACATACACCCATTATGGTAACTTAAGTTAAGTGGCTTAACAGCAACCCAGATGAATGAGGTTAGCCGAGTCCAGGCATATACGCCTACCCGCCGGGTTCCATTTAATTGTCCATTTGCTTTGTCCCTTGGGATAGTATCCCTACACAATCCCAACCCCAAACCCTGTATAGTACCCATTTTCTTTTCCATGATCCCTAGAAAATCTCTACAACATCCTTATATAGCCCCACTCAAACCTAAAGCCAGTAACTGTACGAGGCTGGCTTCCTTCGAGCGAACCACAGACCTTGTCTTTGACGCCGCAGCGCGCAGCCGCGTGGATCCTGTGAAGGGCGTCAGCGAGTGAAAACCTCAGAGCGGGCTCAGGGCTATCCTAGGGTTTAGGGTTTGGGGTATATCTCTATGAGCCATAGTCTAAACTCCTTAAAGGGGGTTGTATAGGGGATGATATAGGGGACTACTATAGGGATTATTAAGGGGAATACTAGGAGTTTAGACAATGGCTCATATAATCTCAGAATAGTTTGCTCTTGAGGGACTTAAATCTAACTTGCCATATTATGGGTATATAGTGAATAGTAAGGTTGCCTTATCATAAGGACAGAATTTTAGGTCCTTAATAGCAACTCAGCCAATAAGGAGGACCCCTGTCATGCGCGTGTAATTTCCAAATATCGCCTGGGTTCCGCAAAAAGGGTGCTGGGGCCTTTCCAATCCTCTCCCGCCTCGGTGTGCAGCTTAGAGAATCACTGTTTGAGCCCCTTCCTGTACAAACTACCTGGACCCCTAAAGCATGTAGAATTATAGGTTTTGGGGCTATTTTAGGGGAGGTTTGGGGCTATCATTTTACATACTTTTGGGGTTTAGGTATTACCTGCATCTGGGAGTGTGCTAGGGACTTCGACCCTAAGTTTGGAACCCGAAGCCCCAGTCATGGTAAGCTCCATAGAGCTCCCCGAAGCTTAACACCCCCTGTACCAAGCCAGCCCCCATAAATTAAAGGGACCCCTAATTTCCGGAATTTTTCTTAGCAGTATAAAAACAATTCTTGCTGCTGTGTTTATATTGATAGTATTACTTCTATGCTTACAATCACTATTACTATTCTTATGCCTATATGAGTATTACTATTATGACTATAAACCCCCCGTAATTGTCAGGTGCATCATCATGGGCTCGACCATCAACTTAGGGACGGGACTCTGCAAGCTCCTCTACGACTTCAATGCACAGGCCCGGAGTATACATGGGTAGTTCCCAAACTTAGGGTGCTATTTTGGTACTACTTAATAGTAGGTGCCGCAACATAATCTATAACCAAAAGGGCCCATAATTTTGACAACCACCCACATGATAAGGGTTTGGAGCTTGGGGTTTCGAGGTTTCGCTGTTCAGGAGTTTGGGTGTTTATGGTTTAGAGTTGAAGGTTGAGGGTAGAAAGTTAGGGGGTAATGGCCAAGTCGTTGTTCAGAAACATAACAAGCGCTAACACGCCCTCTCTTAGCAAAGATAATCAGAGAACACAAAGACGACTGTCCCTTCAAGTTGGCCCTTCAAGAGCGGCCTGCATCAGGTAGGGCTTTACTGTTTCATATTTTTGGTTTTCTGGCCTAAGCATTGAGAAGCACATGAAAAACACAATGAAAACTGGGTTTACAAAAGGGGCTGAGGGTTTGTATGACGGTTTTGGCTGAGTGTGTATAGGGTTTATCTCCTGCTCTATATCTCCTGCTCTACGCGGTCTTTCTGTCTCCTCTCCTTCGTTCTTTTCTCCCTTGACCCAAAGGTATCCGGAGTTTTTGATAGAAGCACAATTTGTGAAGCCATTTACATTGCCACACTTGAGAGGGTAACATGTCATTGCCTTTTTCACCTGCAAGACAACCAGGGCCGCCACATGAGGCACAGAGAAAGGAAAAGAGGAAGAGTACTAATTATAGCGGCCTTAAGAACCAGCAATATCAGTTTGAGGCCTATTTCAGGTACTCTACATTATGTAGTCCCCGTTAAGTAGATCAAATGTGGCTTTGGGTGTATTATAATAAGATCCCCATCTACCCCATATTCCGGAACCTAGGACCACAGCATAGGTAATCATCCCTTTCGACCAGCTTCCATGTTATTTCCCATTTTCTTTTCCCTTTGATTCTCCATGATTGTGGTAGTACCCCTAAATCCTAGACCTTACATATCATTATATAGAACGCATATCTACCCCCATATAACCCTTATGCAGCTTGTTTACATAACTCTACTTAGGCTCCCACAGTCTGTAGCAGACGCGAAGGTTTTGATCAGAATTTGGCTTGAAACTGCTCTTCCCCTCCCCAGCTGGGGGTTTGCAAAAATTATCTTAGGGTTTAGGCTTTAGGGGGGGTTCCCATAAAAAGGGTTAGGGTCTATATTTGAGGTCCCATATTTATGGAAACTACCAGTTGGCTCAGTGGCCCAATCCCAAAACTTTTCTTAGTAGCTGAATGCGTAGCCTTTCTTCCTTCGAACTTCCCTGATGGGTACCGTGTTTAATTCACTGTACAGTTGTTGCCTCACGCAATAACGCCGGGAGCAGCCAACTGAGAAGGATGCGCCTTAACCTTTTGGAGCTTATATAACCCTACTGTAATGAAAAGGCTTACCCTTTCTGGGCTAAGAAACTCAGGAGCAAGGTTTCAAGATCCAGTTGTGTGAAAAGCCCACTGGTGGTTTGTAGGAAATAGAGGAAATGTCCACAAAGTAGTCATTCGCAAGCCCTATCTAAACCCCTACAACCGTCTTCCACCGCCTGCATTCCCTACTAACAACCCTACACCCTGTAACCCAACTGCTATGGCAATTTCCATCCCGTTTTACCCCAAACCCTGAACCCCAAAGAATCTTGTGATTTCCATCCCCTTCTACTGGGTTGCTGTTAAGAAACTTAAGTTAAGTGACCTTATGGATAGATAGTAGATGATGGATTTCCTTAGTGTAGTGATTCAGCTTAAGTGCCTAAACAGCAACCCAGGCTACCTTGCAGGTCCCTGGTAGGGAATAAGGGGCTATGATCCCTATGTAGTCCCTAAAGAATATAGTCCCTTGTCCTCTACTTTCCCCACAGTAAGCTACATTCACTGAACCCTACACTCTAAACCCTAAACCGTAATCCCTAAACTCTAAACCCTAAATTTCTAAATCCTAACCCCCAGACTAAAGATGTACCCTAAGCCCTAAACTCTAAACCCTGAAACCTAACCCCAAGACTAAAGATGATCCCTATACAATTCCTATAAAACCCCTATATAATCCCTGGTAGCTTTAGCAGTTGGAGTGCAAAGCTGCGGGTGGTGTCAGGAAGCCCTGGCTCCGCAGACGGCCAAGCAAAGTACTTCGGCGGATTCTGGTGGATTGGGCTTTGGGCTTTAGGGTTTAGGGTGTAGGGTTTTAGGGTTTGGGGGTTTAGGGTGTAGGGTTTAGGGTATTTTGGTTTAGGGTTGAGGGGATTAGAGGATTGGGTTTAGGGGTGTAGGGTTCAGGGGATTGGGTTTTGGGGTTTAGGGTTTAGTGGGTTGGGCTTTGGGATTTAAGGTTTAGGGTTCAGGATTTAGGGATTGGGCTCTGGGGGCTTAGGGTTAAGGGCACGGGGCTCTTAGGGTTTAAGGGATTGGGCTTGTTTGGGCTTTGGGCTGTGGAGTTTCCATTGTAAAGTAGGAGCCTAAACAATCAGTAGCATCTCAAGAATTGAGAATCAAATCCAAAAGAAATTAGAAATGAAATGGAAGCTGGCCTTGGGTTTAGAGGTGTGGACTTTGAGACTGGGGGTAGGGTATGGGGTTTGCAGCATCATCAGCAGCAGCAGTAGCAGCAGCAGTCGTATTAATGGTAGGAGTAGCAGCTGTAGAAGTAGCATGAGGCGTAGCCGTATGAATGGCAGTATTTGGTGGTACCGTTCTTTGATCGTGATGCCTACGACTAGTGTTTCTGCAATTACGGGTTGCAGGCCCCCAGCCTTTCACACTGCTAGCGAGAGCTCTCCTTTAAGGCTATGCCAGGGCACACTCAAAGTCAGTTTCGTAAAGTGGCTAGTTGCACATACAGGTAGGTAGGTGGCCCCTCGAAAAGTAATTAGGAAACATGCTGTGCTCATTATACATCATTGTGGGGCATCTCCTGCATGGAGGTGCGCAGCAGCCGGCCGTCGGCGGCTCCTGGACAGTACGGGCCTTTGGTTAAGCTGACAATCCGTGAAGCCCTAAACCCAAAGACCATGAAGCTTAGGGGCCAATGACTGAAGAAGCCGTGTGTGAACTGCTTCAGAATCAAGGCTCATGTTAAAAGGCCCCTTGAACAGGAATTATCGAGACAGGGGAGCCCTACGTGTTTTGGTTTTTTTGCAAGATGTCTAAGCACTGCTGGTGAGACCACCGCCGCCGCCGCCGCCACC